GCGCTACAAATAAAATTGAATTGAGTTGAATTGAATCTTTGATGACGTTTGTTGACGTCATCACCCTAGAAAAAATTTAAAAATCCTAAATTTGAATTATTAAATTTATTTGAATTTATTAAGTAGTAGTAGTAAAGGCAGATTGAGTAGGATTTGTTGATTGCTGCTTGTGAACGCACTGTTCAAAGTTAGAGTTCAAGAGAGAGAGTGCTGGTCGAGCCAGGTTGAGAGTAAGTGAAGTGAAGGAGCGTCATTAACAAGATCAAAGCAGAGAATCAGAGAAATAAAGAGATATTTTCTGATTGAAATAATCTGCAGCTGCTGTGCTAAAAGACTATCTGGGTTTCACTACCAATTCAACAGTTTCCATCTTTCTTCAAAATTGCACCATGTTACATCATCCTTTCCACCACCTTTCTATGTGTCATTGGACTGTAGATAATAAGAAAATAAAGCCATTCAATTTAATTAAACAAAAGCACTAAATTCTTTCTTGTATCAATGGCATTTTGAGATTCTTGTTTCATACTGAGTTGTTGTTCATGTTTCCTTAATAATGTAAAATGTCAGTAAAAACATCCCAGAAACAGAAAAACTTTTCCAAAATGAGAACAGAGGAATGTCAAACTGTAGTCTGACTAACCAGTTCAGTTCCTGGGAATTAAAAAAAATCCAAAGTCGATGATTCACAAGTACATTCTCTTTAGTATGGACTGAATGTAAATAAAGTGAAAAAATAAAAGGAAGTTTGTATATTTATTTATTTATATGAACAAAATATGAATATGAGCTCATCTTTCCAGGACAGTTTCTAATTGGTTGTTGTTATGTACTCACAGCCTTTAAACAATCAGCAGCATCATAGCAACTGCGTTTGGTATCATCATTACTGATGTCAGAACTGCCTCTGGTCACCAAACAGAGGCAGATAAAGTCCAAAATATCAACCCGAGCTAAGCACAGATGTGTGTATGAGTATAGTAAATGTGCGTGTGTGTGTGTGTGTTTGCAGCTGGGCGAGGCCCTGCAGGTGTCCACGCAGGCTACAGCAGAGCTGAACCTGCAGCAGAAGCTGCGTGAGGACAGCACGCTGAGGGTGGAGGAGCTGGAGGAGTCTCTGCTGGAGAAGGAGCAGGAGCTGCAGAGACTGCAGGCCCTCGTCAACAGACTGCAAGGAGAGGTGAGCCCACTTGTCCAGTAACAGAATTCCCATCAGGCTCAGCTGTACTTTAAGGGGTTTTATGTTGTTGCATAGATAAAATAAACTTAAAAAGATAAAGCTACTGGTTTTTGATTATAGCTGAGAACCACTCTTGTACGAACGCAACCTCAGGATGTGTGTGTTTCTGCGTGTGTGTGCAGGTCTCTGGTAAGCTGATTGATAAGGAGCAGACGCTAGAGGAGGAGATCCAGCTGAGGGAGAAGATACAGCTGCAGTGTAAGCAGGCGGAGAGGATGGTGGACGACCTCCACATGGAGCTGCACACCGCCAACCAGGCCAAAGAAGACCTGATCAAACAAGTCAAACAGGCTCAGGTACTGGCGTCAGTCATTTGATAGTTTCAATGGCAAGTACATTAATACACCATCATTCCCATGCATTTACACAAGAACATCATGTACAATAAATAAAAACAGAGGAATTGGGGTGTTCTGGTGCTTTAAGACAAAAAAGAAAGCTCAAGTTCATATAAAATAAATTATTTGACCTGTGGGTAACACCTATTTAATATCAAACTGGTATCAGATTTATAGGATAAGGATGGTGTGATTCTTTTTTTCCAAATCCCATGAAATGATGAAAACCAACAATGTGTTAATCTATCTCTCAATACTCTCTGACTTCCTGTCTGTGGCTCTGAGCCCACTGGTTCCTCCTGAGGATGTGAATCTTTAGAAACAGCTCAGATAAATATACGCCGACATGCTGCTCACTCTAGTTTTTGACCATCTTTACTCTAACAGGAGGAAATAGGGCGTTGGTTGTTGGTTTTGGTCTGTAGAATCAACCTGAGTGGGATTTCAGGCTGCTAACCGAGTTGACAGTAATACAAAAAGGTTCACACACCTTACTTTTTTATTTGGGATAAATTAAAAATAAATAAATAAAATATTATAATAATGTTTCATCCTTGGAGCGAACTCTATTTCCAGCTGTAGATCAGACAGTATCCACTGTGTGTTTGCATACGTGACCTAATGATTCAAACAGAGATGTCCACTTGAATTAATCAGTCATGCAAACCATCAGAGTTTGGGGTTAATGAGGCATTAATTATGCAAATCCTGTTTAGGAATCAACTGCTAATTCCATAATCCCAAATATTCATCATGTCGCTATTTCTGAAGATACTTAATCTGTCCCATTTCTAAACAGCCTGAATGTTCTGCTGATGAGACACAAGAGTGACCTCAGATCAGCCTGAGAAAAGTTTAGTTCAGTTGTTTATGGATGATGACGTATTCTCTCTCTCAGGAGAAGATGATCGACCTGGAGAGCGATCTGGAGGAGCTGCACGACAGCGAGCAGAGATGGGCCGCCAAACACAAGAGAGCCATCGAACAGGTAAACACACAGGAGACAGGAAGTGAGTTAACTGAGGATATTTAGTCAGTAACAGGATTTTAAAAGCACTGGCAGACAATTCCAACGTCCATTATACTGATGAGACTGACTGTACTGAGACGTGTCTGTGTCTGCTGTCAGACTGAGCAGCTGCAGCTGAAGCTGATCCAGGAGAAAGACCTCAACGAGCTGCTGGAGACTGACAAAGCTGCCATGGAGCGACAGGTAATGTGTGTGTGTGTGTTTTTGAAGATTTATTAACTGGTATAATTTTTTTTTAGCATAACAAAGAAACATTTTTGATTTCTTAAATTTGATTATTTAGGAACTGTGAGGAAATGTGGGACACACATTTTACAGTGCAAAAAGCAACTTGTCAGCGCCCTCTGGTGGACACACTGTGTAATGGAAACTAAACATATCTTTGACATTTCTGTACTGCAGGTTCTTAGGAGGATTATTGGCTGACATGTAACCAATCAGATACATCCTAATGCATTGCCAAAAAGGAGGAAAAGACACATTCAGACCTAATCTCTAATAGAAATCTCTGTCTGTCTGTGTAGCTGCGTGAGCTGCGTCTGGAGGTGGAGGAGCTTCACAGCTCCAGAGTTCAGGAGGACGTTATCTCCAGGACGGAGAGCAGAGTCAAAGAGCTGGAGAACACTCTGAGGACCGAGGAGAGGTCAGTCACCAACCTCAGAGAACACGTCTGCTGTGTATTATGTCACTGAGCGCTTTCTGAATGCTCCTGATGTGAGAGATATATCTGTATCAGGTCCAAGTCCAACTGTCTTGGTGTATCAAAGAATGGTTAGCTGTGATATAAACAAGATACAGCCACATATAGTGTGTGGTCGTATTGGCTGATGTGTTTGTGTTTTGTGGTTCAGGAACAAAGCAGTTCTGACAAACACCATCAGTAAACTGGAGAGGAGGATCAACGAGCTGAGTGACCAGATGGAAGAGGAACACAGGATAGCTACTGAACAGAAAGACCTGGTAACACACACACACACACACACACACTCACTCTCTCTCTCCTTCTCCACGTGGAGGCAGTATTACAAAATAGTTCCTGTACTAATATGCATTTATAGTTCATGTGTTTTATAGAGAGGACTTGATGAACTGTGCCGGTACAGAAGCAACGTATGCTCGCACCTTGAGGTGTTTCTGTGTCGCATGTCAATGTGTCAGTCTGGTCCTGTGTGTCCAAACTAAGCGCTGCTCTGTGATTGGTCCTCCAGATGACCCAGAGGATCCGCTCCCTGAAGCGCCAGGTGAACGAGGTGGAGGAGGAGGCGAGCAGGAAGGAGGCGCAGCACCGCCACACCCAGAGAGAACTGGCCGAGGAGAGGGAGACAAGCAGCCGTCTGCAGAGACAGCTGCTCGACCAGCACATGCAGACAAAGTACGGAGTCTAATACAAACACACACACACACACAGTTAAATGGGCTGGTACAGGTATGAAACACTCACCTCCTGTAAACTAGCTGTGATCCTCACAGATTGGATTTTAGTGATCATTTGTAACGCGTAAAGCATCAGTATGGGTGCTATGGTTACCAGTGGTTAATCTTTTGTTCAAATGTCCAAACCGGCAAGCCGATCTGAAATTGGTGGAACTTGCAGATCGGTTTCCTCGAACACAAAGGTGCAAATACGTGTACAGTAACGCCACCTCTCTCTGTCACAGGCGTAAGGAGACTCTGACCATTCGTCAGACTCTGGACAACCTGAGGCTGGACCTTAGTGTCGACGATGAAGACGACGATCAGCTGCCGCAGCAACAGACCACCAGCGTCACCAAAGTCTAAACCCTCACCCTCCTTTTCTTCCGTTCTACAAAACATAAAGCATCTTCACACTGACAGCGTCAGGGTGCGTCCACATGTGACCAAGCTGCCACTTTATTACAGCCAGGAGGCATTCAGTCCATTCTATTGTGATCAACACTCAACTTCTCAGGAAAGAACAGTATTGGCTGAGGATGAGGAGTTCATATTCATCATCAGGAGTTTCAGCTATTGAGGGAAATGGCTAGACAAGAAAAAAGAAGTGTTCAACTTTTTCCCCCAGCAGGATTTTTTCTTTTGTCACTGTCGGCTCCATTTTGCTAGAAGTTGCAAATGTTGATGAACACTTTTTAGTTTTTACAGATTGTATTTCCCAGTAATCTCCTAGGAAGTGTCCTGGAAAGAACTGTGTAATCTGGTACTAATTACAGGAGAAAAACAGACGAAATCATTCATTTTCCTCCATTTAAACACGTGTATATAAATCTATAATGCATTTATTACTGGAAACCTTATTCTCCATACATGTTGAGTTGTAGACCTGCTAGTAGACCAGTTTGACTAAAAACACCTTATTTTTTTCTACCATTAGTATCAAATGACCTATTTCTTTGCAGGAAACCTCTGATGAAATTGTTAGGAAATTACCTTACAGATGTATTGCCCTCTCCTGGTGGCCAGCAGGAATTACAACAGTAATCTATTCATAAACACTCACAAAGAGCAGTGTATACACAGCCTCACTGTCAGTGTGACTGACTCAGACGCACAATGAAGACATGTTTAACATTATCTTTTCTCCTTTTCTATTACATAGAATATTAAATAGAAGAAAATAATATAAAAATAAATAGATCGTGCCTTGGTAATGAATGCGCAGGAGCTTGGTGCAGAGAGACATAAAGGGAAAGCTTGCTGTGGACAATAATGGCATACAGTAATAAGGATTTGATAAAGGTGCCTTGTTGTTTTTAATCTGTTCTCGCTACAACAAACCAAATGAGCTTTACACAGCCAGAAGTACATTCTGGAGAGAGGAATTTCTACATTATCCAGTTGCACAAAAGCTTTATGGAAAAATATATTTTTGGAAAAAGTTCAAACTCAAAGAATCAGCGGCTCCTTGTAAATGTGACAAACTTCTCAGATTTTGCGTTGTTTGTTTTTATTTGTTGGAGCTTTGCTGATTTCCCCTGTTAGAAGCTGTGTAGTTTAACACATTCACCTGCAGTATTTGAACATATTCCACACTGGTTGCTGACACACTACTGACTGCAGAGGAGGGACCTTTGGATGTGATTGTAGCTGTTTTTGATTAACACACAATTACGAAATTATTTATATTGAACTTTGTTAATGTTGTTTTTATGATTTGAAGATTATTGAACGTTCTGTGTTTGCAATTGCTTGCGGGGCAAAGAAATGATTGTAGAGAATTACATTTTTTTGTATTGTTTTAGAGATGTGTTTTGTTAAAGGGGTTTACCGCTGTACTGATACTTGCTGTGCTTCCCACATACAGTATCTGGTTATGAAAAAAAAAGAAAATCTCACTACACACTTGGCATTAAATCTGCATCTTTATTCATTTTATCAGAATTCACTAATTTCACAAAAATAAAAAAGTTTTAAAATGTTTAAAAACAGCTGAGACGTTTTAGCTCTCAGAAGTAGAATAAATGTCTGAGTACAGTTTGGATCCAAGATGTGTGTTAATGCAACTTGTGGAAGAGGAAAAAAAATAGAATATTAATTAGAAACACAGTTTATATGCTATGTGGTTTTCTGTAGCATCTGTTTAATGTGTTGTATGCTCCTATTTTGGAAGAAATTACTTTTCTTTTCCCTTTAAAAGAAAACTAAGCGCACAGACAGAAACAAACAGGGCTCGGTTGTTGGTTTCGTTCTCAGATACTGACTGTGGCCAAAAAGTTAGCCAAAACTTAAAGAATGAAAGAAAATAAAGAATGCTCACTTCCTCCTTCTGATTGAACGGTGAGTACTTTGAACCCAGGCAACCGTCCATGCTCGCTGCTTGTAGGACGTCTGTCGTGAACACATAAAGCTAATACTCAGATACAGTTTGGATTCTGTTATGTTTACATTTGTTGGTGTCTTTTGCTGTATTGGAAACAGGAGTATAAATCATATTTCAGCTGTTGGGAATGTAATTGCTACACCGTGTCACTAGTGTTTTATTTTTAATTTTTAAGGAAAAAGCGAGGGTGTCTACACATATGTAAAAAGAAATTGAACACACTGACTTATTTTTGTAACTACCTTCATTCTACCGGTTCTGCTGTTCTCGGGTATTTATTTTTGTTTTTCCGATTCTCTCTTTTGGTGAGAAGTTTCTTAGTACAAATTGCAAGTAAAGTCTTCTCCACTCTGAAATCTGGGTAATGTTTGTATGTTTTTTGTGAGTATCCGTTTTACAAGCAATCAATATTTGAAACAATTTTGCCTTCATGTGTGATTTGGGATTCTCCTCCAAATGGAGATAAAAAACAGCACATTAAGGGCTAATTTACACATAGAGCCCCTATTTGGTACCAGGAGTACAGAGCACATTACTTTTTCTGCCCAGAGAATTCAACAGGCTAAACAACACAATTAACACTAAAACAACATAAAAACTTGTAAACAAGGCCCTTTAATTTGATGTCAGTTTTCCCGGTGGTGTTTATTTCTTGTGAAGAAAGTTCCCAGTATTACACACATTACGACACAGTTATAAATAATAAACAAAAACATATATATAAAAAACATATATATATGAAACACAGGCCAGCAGGGTGTTGGGGGGGTTAACTGAATCAAAGTAACACAGCGTTGCCAAGTCCTCCGGACAAGTACATTTACGTGCGGCAACACACAGCAGCTCCAGAAAGAGTCACATTAAGTAAAAATAACAAGTGGCTTCAAATGAGGCTTAACGTTCACACACTGCTAACAACAAGTAGCATTATTATTTATTTATTATTTGCACATACACTATACATTTGTATGTAACTACAACAGATTTTATAGGAAATAGAACAATGTGCAGGAGAGGTTTAAAACCAAAAATGGCTTGTGAAGAAAGCATTGGCATACTACTTCCTGTAACCGAGCAGCCTGCTTGACACTAGCACACTACTAAACTGCACTGCTATGTTGTTATAAACATCCCCTCAGTAAGTGACAAAGTGAAAATTTAGCTTTCACTAAATCAAAAAAAAAGTCAAATATTTCCCTGTCTTTTCAAACAGCCAGTGCCACACATGGCAATATTATGAAACAGAGAAAAAAACAGAGTAAAGGAGGTCCAAGGATTGAGCCTTGAGGAGCTCCACAGGTCATAGAAGCAAAAGAAGACATTGTCAGCAATTAATACAAAGAACTTGTGATATGATATGTAAGAAGAAAACCACCACTGTACTCCAATTACACAAGAATGTACACAAGAATATTGTGTACAATTTGTGTCCTGTGATAGTGCTAGAGAAGAGATCAGGAGATTTCTTGCTCAGGAACAAAGAGTCCATGTCCAAAAATAAGATGCTTCAAAATCTACATGTTACATTGTTATAAGAACATTGCAATATACCTGTATGCTTGCCACCGGGTCAGATTTGGTCGGATTCCCCTTGAAATAAATGAAATGAGGAAATGGTAAAAATGACACTCTTGTTGACAGGGGCGCCAGAATCAACACAAACACTTTAATTATATGTAAAATAACCATCTTGTGACTCGAATGAAATCATCATGGTGTCCATGTTTCTCACTACAACCAGTGTAAACACACACTTGCCAAGCTGGGGATTTCCAGATTCTAACTCTGGTGGGAACATAGTGAGATTTCTGGACACGGTGTTCACAACTAAACCTGAACAAACGGCTGTTTATTTGAATCAATGAGCCTGATGTGACTAACCAGCTGTGTCCACACAGTGTAGTGAAGTGAAGTGGTGAAGTGAACAACAACAAACACAACAGATCCCAAAGTTATTATAGTACTAAGTCATCTTTAATCAGCTGTCAGATCTCACAAAGCCTGAATAAATTTACTGCAAAGTCGATCAATCATCATCTAAAACAAACGCTTCGGCAAGATAAAACTGAATCTACAAAGATACTCGTCAAAACATACATGTTCAGTTCCAGTTTATAACACTTTCACAACCAAAAAGACAACTTTTTAAAAACATTTTATTTAGGGGGTAAATGTATCTTTTTACTTAAACTCAACACAGAAATATTAAATTCACACCTCAGGAAATGTGACAAAAGATGCTGATGCAGTGTTTTAAGCAATTTTGCAAAAAGTATTTTTTCCAAGTAGTTTTTGTTTGGTTTGCATTCAGCAGGTGCCAGATGGCCGGGGGTTTGCTGCCAGATGATTTTGTTTAAGGTCTAATAGCCATTGCCTCAGCTGGGCGTTCCTGTCCTGAAGGTACAGTGACGAGATTCTTTTTCACTGATAGCAAAAGGGTGTAGTATTTGAGAGACTTCCCTGTTTGTTAGCAAGCTAACATTTATGACTATTTCTGTAAAACTTTAGCTGTCTAATGTTAGCTTAAATGATACTATTACCTCTAGCAATTTTTGTGCTTAAGCTAGTGTTAAAAGCAGTCAAGTAGGTCTATCTATGGGTATAGTTCTCAAGGACAGCTACTACATGACACATGGTTAGGTTTAAGAAAGATCATGGTTTGGGTTAAAAACGTAAAGCAAAAAAAGTATGTTATTCCAGGAAGTTATCTCTGTGTAGTCTGTGAGACTGCAGATAGACCCTTCTCAAGGTAGTACTAATTGAAACATGAATAAAAATAAATTTTATAATGTACATATTAGAATCATTTACTTGTCAATTTACTCAATAATGGCTATTGTTTGTGTGCGGTCACACAGTCAGGCTCTGTTTAGTAGTAAGTAGCTACAGTAAGCAGCTAAGCTAGCTATATTTGTACTTAGCTGGCCCCATAGAAATGCAGTCAGACCTTCATTTTGCATCCATTGTAGCGGTTGCCACAAAAACTGAAGAAACAGCTAACTAGCAACCCTTCAAAAGCATTGCTATTATTACTATGTTATTATGTTATTATATTAATATTCAAAGGTATGTGCTAATTAGTGTATAATCTAAAACCTGAACATAATAATATTAATGAGCCATTTTAAAGTTGCCATGGGTCACGTTTTATGCATGTTTCGTGGCCACCATAGTTTCTCCCTCCCGGTTGGAAAGGGAGGGTGAATGCTATACCCCTGGGCTAAATTCAGACTTCTATTATTATTAGTATTTTCTCTGTCTAGTGTCTCTAGATCTAGTTTCCTCCCAAATTACTCAAAACATCAACATATGTGTGCACATTGTTCCATATCTTGTAAGATTAAGTATGTTATCTTTCAAAACTCTTTTTTTTTTCAATCTATTTTTTTTTTGAGACAGACTTGCAGTGAGCCTCACCAACACAGAAACGCCTCGCTGTTAGTGCTATCAGACTCTTGCACACATTTTTGATAATCAAACAGAGGCTTTCGCAATTTATTTAACTTTTCTAATGAAAAAACAGCAGTTACTATCTGCATCAAACTAAACCCAAAGCACACTCTCCTGGAAAAAAAAAACACAGGATAAAACAAACAGATTTATTTGCAGCTCTGACATCAGAAACATTAAACGCATCACAGGTCATTTCATTCTTATTGTGTCAAACATGCTGACGGTGCAACAAACCCAACAAACACACACAGGCATCGATACACGCAGTGAAAACCGAAGAAACGTGTACAAACCGCAGGCATCAGAGAGAATTCACACACAGAGGATTTCCAAAAATAAAAAAGCTCTTAGAGGTACTTGGAGTGATACATTGTTTTGATATATTGGGCACAAAAACAACATCATGACGTCTGGTCTCTGCTCTCTCTGCTTTGTAATCTATAATCAGTAATGCATTAAAATACTCAGTAGCTCACAAACTTTACAGAGGATCAGACAGAAGAGTTAATAATAACAGGCACAACATGACTCTCCAAACAGTGTAAACTTTCAAAGTGAAGTCAAAAACTACCAAAACCATTTAAGACTTATTAAACAGATGCTAGGAAAAAACATGACTACAGCGAAAATAAATGTAATGTTGGTAGATGTCAGACACACCTGTGGCACAACTGAATACTGAATTTAAGCAAAATGACATCAGAAGACAAATGTATTATTAAAGTTCAATCAAAATTAAGAAAATATAATGAGCAACACAAAAAGAAGGGCTCAGATAAAAGCTGACAAATTGGTTCAAACAATTGTCACAATTAAAAGGCATTGGTTCAACATATGCAGGAAAATGGTCGTCCATCTGGGTGAGGAGCACTGGGAATTTGGACTCCAAGAAAAGCAGCATTAACTTGACATAGTCGATGCTTTTTATTTTACCTACTTTTGTCCCCTTGCTTTATTTGATCTGAGCTGTTGGGTAGATCTTAAGAATTCATTTTCATTTTTCTTTTTTTGTAATTGCAAAATAAATGTACTAAAATTACTGGAGAAATAAGAATCTTTTTTTAATTCTGCATTTAAACCAAAATGTGTTGCCAGTCACCCTCATCAATAAGGCTGTATTACATTTATGTACAACCATGTCATTATTTTCCCAAGTCACAATTTAACTGTTTTACCAAAAACATGGAAACTTAACAAAAACTGAGAAAAAGTAACACACCTGATTAGTGATTTTAAAGACATGTATGAGACATTTAAAGCTGCACTAATCAATGTTTTTATAGTAACATTGTGTTATGCAAAATGTGACACTCATAATGAACCTACCAAGAATTATGCAGCACGATACAGAGCTTTTTAGCCTCTTTCAGCTCATTGTTTTGGTTTTACGGCACATTTAACGTAAGGTTTAGTCTCATCAAACCCTTTTCCAGCAGCGGGCAGCTGATACACCCACTGTACACTACCTGCCATAGACACCTAGCTATATATTTTTCTCATTCGCTGGTGGAGACCAAAACAGAGCTAAAGAGGATAGTAAATATTGGAAATATATTTATCAGATGGACACAAACTCTACTCCAATGGACTGAAAATATCACTCTGTGTCTGCAGCTGTTTGCTAACACCAGCCTTATGGCCGTAAGAACTTTATAAAGTTATAATATGTCAATGCTGTGTTTTTAACTTGTGCCACTGCTCCTAACGTTTTAGTTTCAGTAATGATACAATTCTACTAAAATATCACTTGCTTAACAGGACTTGTTTCATGGACTAAAGTTGGAGCAAAGAAAAAAAAAAAAACCTGTGTTCAGAGGATTTCACAAAGCTGCTTCTGTAAGTTTAGAAGTATGTAACCTGTACATTATGATTCATAAAAGATCAAACAGAGATTTGAACAAAAGAAAAGTGACATTGAAACGGAAACAGTGCAACCAAACCTACAGAGATACAGAATTTTATGGGAACATTATCAGAGTTATCCTGATAAGTAACTGTGAGAGGATGTTACAGTGTGAGCCATCTCCTTATGTCTTTATAATTAGCGAATTAACAGCAGTGAGTGTTTAATATGGCACAGGGATCAGCTGTTGGCAGATGACTCTGCTTGGCTCTTAAACAAAATACAGCACAAAACACATTTTTCTCACTGTGAAGGCAGTTTCTCTGAGTGAACAGCAGAATGAGGTTTGGGTTTGTCGCAAGCAATCGCTCGTTTTTGTCGTTTCCTTTTTTCATTTGGCACACTGGCAGATTAAATATAGGTGACAACGAGTTGAAGCCAAAGCTGTATGGCGCTTTAACTTATTTTTGTATGGATCCATAGAGCAAAATGCTAAAAATGTTACTGAAAAACATTCAGAATTTTATCATCTTTAAAATGACCACACCAGGCCATTAATAAGCCACACATGCAGTATACTTCGTGTTACTGCTGACCCATTTGGCAGCCACTGGTTTCAGAACACTTTGAAAACCAACCTGCAGTAATCCTAATATTATGCAGCTGTGAGTTGGGACTAAACCCTCCCGTTGGCTCACTGACGGACAAAATAAGGATTTAGCTGCCAGCAGGTGGCAAGCAAAAAGACCATTTCCCTTGTTTCTGGTACACGTCAACTCGGCTCAAGATTTGTCATGAAGTAAGGCAGATCAAGGTGTTACTTGATATAATGAAAACTGTTGAGTTGCACTTAAAACAAAAGAGATCATCTCGGACTCAAAGCTGAGTTTTGACATTTAAATGAACAGATTTATTTTTCATTTTTTGTAAGTTTACCTTTAAATGGCTTCTGAAGACTCATGTTTTTTGCTATGCTCAAGCGTAGCATCACGGTACAAAACATGCAGCCTTTTAAACTGAACTCTTAAACTGAATTTCCTTTCAGTGTAACATGATTTCATTAGGTTTTCTGCACAGCAACTGTTAAATGGTCTGGTATGCAATTAAAAAACAATGTAGTGTTAAGCAACAAAACACAACTTTGGAGACACAAAAAAGTTGGTCCACAGTAACTTCAAGTGTTGAACCAAAGAAGTCCAGTTCAGACCAAAGAGAAATAGTCTTAATCAATTTCTACTGTACTTCAAGAGTTTATAATAGTGTATTTTCTTCATGTTAGACACACTTGATTGATTAATTTGTCATTTTTGGGTTAATTTGACAATTGAGCTTAAGAGCACTATAGCAATGAAATAAATGGTGGAAATAATTTTCTCTTGATGGACGTTAAAATTAAAAAAGAAAGAAAGAAAGGATATGAGTGCGAGTGTGAGATATAAAGAACATAACAAAAATATGACAACGCAAATAATAATCTATGCTTTACATTTCTTTTAATATAAATAATTGGTCACTTTATATTCTAACAACATTGGTCATGTATGGGGCCTTAAAGCGATATTTCACTTTGTCTGATTACCTGTTATAAAGAGATGAGAGTTCAACATTTAAAACCAGCTGCCCTGAAAAGCCCATGTCACCCAACTAACTGACATCTGGTATTTTTCCATTCTCAGAAAGGCCATTTTCATGATAATGATTCTGATTAGACCTAATTATCTTCTATAGTTAATTGAACTGTTTTTCAATGCATTTATAATGACTTACAGTACATGTCATGTTTGTTCTATCTGTAATCTGTAAATAGCCATTAACTTTTTTAGATTTACATTTTCCGCAAATGTTAGCAAGTTACGGTGACATTGCCTCCCCAGAGCAGCAGATATTTTTAGCTGACTTATCTCAAACTCTCACACACAGAGGTTAAAGTCTGTTCCGCCACAGTGGAATAACACTTTAAAAGCCAAGGCAGTAGATCAGTGTGGAACAATACATCTATTTAATAATATACAATGTAGGCTTTTTTTCGCCATTTCACGTGTGCCATGCTGTACCCATATTCGTCCTACAATATGAAAGGTGTACTATCTGCTATCAGCCAGTCTGGCACCATCATTGAGGTTTAATGGAGAATAAGTAAACCAACCGGGCAGCTGACAGAGAGCTAGCTGAAGCACTAGCAAAATGACAAAGTATCTCATGTTATCAGTATAATGTAAAAGTGTCCACAGTACCCAAACAAAGCTACTTCTAATCTATCATATGGCACTCCTGTACAAAGGAACAAAAGCACGGTAAATTACGTTAGCTAAACTAGAAACTAGAAAACCTTGAAGCACTGGCACAGAAAACGACAACTTAAACAAGATGTTGTTGGTGTGGTGAGAAGACTGATACAAAAGTATTGTGATAGGTTTTTCTCTATTTGATTTGTCTCTGTATGAAAGTTACTAAAACATTGCAAACCATCTTTACTAGAAACACAAATCAGCTGCTTTTGTTAATATTAGCGTCCCACTTGTAGCCACAGCTAACACTGCCAGGCTCTGACGCCCTAAACGTTAGCTCGTCTGTAGATGGCTAGCTACAAAATGTCTTATACAGCAGGCTTGTGGAGTAATCAGGATACAAAGAAAAGGTAACTATAAAGTAAAATAATCTGCTTATGAAAAAGAAATACTCGACAGAGGATATTCAGCTTCTTCTGCTTTGTGTCGGGGTATCTCCATCTTTTGTATTGTTATGTTATGTTTTTAATAAAATATTTAATATAGGCCTAATATTCATCTGCACAGCTGGATTCAAAATACATATCCTAAAGTTAGCTATAGACGCTAACAAGCTGACATTAGATTAACAAAAAACAGACACACAGCAATCTGAGACGGGTGTCAGAGACCTCCAATATGGCACTGTAGCTAACTGTATAACGTGGTGCATTTTTAACAAATGTCTAACACTGAAATATGACCATATGTGGCTAATATGGGTACAGCATTGAAAACAGTGTGAAACTGGGCAAACAATTAAAATAGAAACACATTGGTCACACAGTTGGTCAGCCTGGTCCAGGAGGAAAAGTTTCAGGAGAGGACCATGAATTAATTTACACAGACACACAGACTGACTCTTTATGGCCCAGATTAGGATGTCTTCAAGTGACAGCCTAAACAGGAAGCAAAATGCTTCCCCTGTTACGAAGTGATGAAGAGATGAGACTTTAAAGAGTTCAAATTCATTTTTGAAAATCTCTTTTTGCCTGTTTAGATCAATTTAAATCATTCAAACCACTTGCAAGCAGAGAAATTGGGAGCGTGCAGAGCTTAATTCCCAGAATGCATGTTTTAACCGAGGCACATTATGTGTCTGACAGTGATGAAACTGTCCCCTCCTGTTTTAATTTCCTCTTAAACAGAGCTCAAAGGCAAACAGGCTAAGACTGTATTACTTTGAAAATCCACTAGAGGGGGACAGAGTTGTTTCATTGCCAGACAGTTGGGTAAGGAGAGGAACAGAAAGAAAAGAGGAGCAGGAGATGGCTAAACTTTAGTTCTAGAGAGAAGAGAGTGACCAGGGAAGATGAACAAACATGCAATCAAAGATGACAGAGAAAGTAAAAGAAGGAGGGAATGTGGCGAGTAGAAAGGACGGACGAACGGAGGAACGCTGACTGGTCGTTTCCTGAATCGCCTCTTGATCTAGCATGCACATTTCTTCTCATTGGGCTGCTCCTCAGCAAGCTTCGTGGCCCCGTTGCCATTGGCTGGCTCGACGGGCGGTTTGTCGACGCACTGCTCCATCCTCTTCATGACCAGGTCCAACAGCGTTATCACCGCCTTGTCCACCTCCGCTCCCGTCGCTGCACTCGTCTCAAAGTACGGGATTCTGTGAGGGACAAGAGCAGAAATATCTATTAAAAAGCTCCGCAACAGTAGAAGGGTTTAGCCCACTACATAAGAACCATTTTACAAACAATCCCATCATTATTCGACTGATTCCAGTTCATTTCTATTAAAGTCATCTTGTAGAGAGTTGAAACTTCATGGAGACCATAACAGCAAGCAACAAGGGAAATGTGTTGCTTTATCAGAGCTATTATTGCGAGGTGCATCATTGGCTTATGGACATTTTTTCTGTTCTCAGACAACATTATTTTTTTCTGAAGTAACTTTCTCCATAAAGCAAAACCATTGATGAAGCATGGTGGTTGAGAAAACAAGCTTTGGTTACCATGGCCTTCAATGTCAGGGCCCGTTCTAGATGGATTTTTCATTAAACCAGTCAATGTTACTTGCAATGACAAAAGCATTATATTTTTTGTCTCTGTCTCAACTCTTTGGATTCGAACCTCTTTGAACTACGTCTTGACTTTCACCCAGTCCTGGTCTTGGACTTGACAACGGTGGTTTTGGACTTAACAAAGGTGGTCTTGACTACAGCAGTGACTTACAGAGCCCAGCGTGGGGGTCATACGGTAGAAAAAACTTACCAAACCGTATTAATGGCTTGATAAATGGAGCAAAACGTTGAAGCAAATATGCATATGGCTTATGATTTTAAAGAAAAACAAGGGGGCAATGCTGTATTTCATTGTCAGACCAGCTAAATCAAAGCACACAAATAGTGTTAAAATACTACAACACTAATAGACCAAAAACAAGTGAGTCACAGCATATTAGCCATTGTTATTCCTCATTAATTGTTAAAGCACAAGTTGTATCTGAAATACCTCTTGATCATTACTTTATCCTCATATATTATGCATTAAAAACCAAATGGGACTCCAGTACATTTTGAACTATGCACAAAGACAGCCAAGCTAATCCTTTGGTTATTAATTCATTCACTCAGTTAAGCAATTCATTTTCTTAAGTTTGCTCATCAGTGAGATAATGAGGAGTTTTCTAAACATTCTCCTCTCACAACATATAATGATAGCATTATGCAGATAATTAGCTTTTGTTAACTAATCGAAGTCACGCACAGAGAAGTAAACTTGAAGGAGATAATAAATCAATGTATAAACTGATGGTTGGGTGGTTTGGAAAATGATCAGCAACAATCAATATGGTCCAAGGATTGGAGTTCATGTACTAAAACTAGCAAAACTACCACAGGATCCTTTAATATGCAACCTCTTGGTCCTGAAACAATAGGTTGAGTAACCAATCAGTCATCAGAATGAAGATTTAATAACAGATTATTTGATTCATTTATGAGTAAGTAAAAATACTCTATTCCAGTTTACATAACCGTAAAGGATTACAAGATTTGCTGCTTTTGTCCATTTTTCCCTTTGTGTGTTTCGTTTTCACACTTTATTGACTCAACAACCAACTGATTAATACATTAGATTATTGATCATAACAATTGGTGGTAACATCTCTGTAAGTGTTGTGTTCTATCTTTAGTGTCACGTTTAAAGAAAAAATCTTTCTGAAATATTTATCATTTAAAAATACTGTAAATAATGATTAATATTTGACTGTGGAAATAAGACTGAAGCTGTCACTTTAAATGTGATCTGTAGATATATTTTAAATGTAACTTTTAACTGACAGTATTTGGCCGTCATATTGTACCTATACGTCCCTGAGTTCCCCAGAGTTTAAGGCAGACTTTATTACTTCCTGGAACAGAGTTTTGTTGCCTGGCAACACCAGGCAGAGGTCTTGCCTGGCTGGAATGACACAAAGAAGCGATTTTTAACTCGTCTAACAGGAAGTCATTTGTTGAGAAATTGCGAAATGTCAGTGCTGCACTGGAGTCATGTACTGTCTGTCTGTAATGTTGTGGTTTGTCTCAGTGCTCGTCTCACAGCTAGCCTGCTCTTTATGAAATACTTATGTTCAGTCTCTCCAATATTATCGATACTCCGGTGATCCTTTAATACATACCCACACACTGTACATGAAAATCAAACCTACCCGTATTTATCAGCCAGCTCCTTGGCCTGTTTCTCCTGAACCTCCCGCTGGTCGGCCAGGTCTGCCTTGTTTCCTACCAACACAATATCTGGATTCTCACAGTAGGCATTGGCCTGTAGCTGGCCTGGAAATGAATACAAACGGAAAAAAGGAGATGTTTGAGTGTAATATAGAAAAACTGTATCTTTGCACAGCTGAATGAACTTGATAAAAGTGAAAAACTCTGCAAATAGTTTCACTTACTGCTGTTTTATTTTATGCTTCCTTCGTATGCCCTTTACCAGGCGTAAAACTACCTTAATTTTATGTGCAAATATAATGAGAACTTCACTTCACTTCACTTCACCACCAGAGGCACTATAGAGCAATGTTTTGATAGCAAGATCAGAAGAAGACCTCTAAGCTAAAACAATGCAGTTTCTAAACACGTAAAGAAATTGTGACGTTAACAACATACTCATCCAGTTTCTGACATTGAGGAAGCTCTGCTGGCTGGTGAGATCAAACATCAGCAGGAACCCCATGGCGTCCCTGAAGAACGCCGTTGTCAGGCTGCGGAACCTGGAACACACCGGAAATATGTATGCTTGATTGACAGGTTTCTCAGATCTTTCATTTGTTCTTTAAATATTCCCTCCAGACATGTCTTTGTGACACATAAATATTATCTGCTTTGAATAATAATTTGTACCTGATGTCGTTTGTCATTTCAAATTCCTTAAAATTACATTTAGTGAAATATCCAGGAATATGCAAATATTTTTCCATTTCAAAAGTTTAACAGCTGGACAACAACAAGTCTCCTTTCTCCTCCAAAAACTCCATTCTCAGTGTATGCGCACTGGAGGTTTCAAGTTTCCATAACACACTTGTATAAGTTGCATGGACCAGGGTTGACTTTGAGACTAGGTGAATGAGTGTGAAAACAGCCTTTTAGTGTCAAACTCTGCACAGTGGAGCTCATTCACAAAACAATCAGCAAAACCTGGTGTTGAGTGTAGGAGGACTGTTACAGTAATACTTTTATACTTAAAGCTACAACCATTCATATTTTCATATTAACAGAGAAGCAATTTGTTGTGAAAGGGGTCACTCTTTGTGACAAACCCACAGAAGTTGGTGGAGACCAAAACAGAGCTAATAGAGAGTAACTTACGTTTGTCAGGCAGACACAAAATGACTCCACATGAATGATGATATTGCTCTGCATTTGTTGGATGTGTAAACAGGCTACTGTTTGTTAACAAGTTTGCCAAATCAATTCAAAATCTGTCAGCGTAGTAAATGGTACATGGACTGTACTTATATAGTGCCTTTCAAGACTTAACTGTTGAAAATGTCCACAGTGAACTTGTATGTTCTGTGGCATGCTGGGTTTCTGGGTGTGACACCAGCAAGGAACATAACTCTGTGTAAACATTACATGTGAAGCTTCATCAGCAAATATGTGACAGGCAAACAATCAGGATAAAGCGGCAGATATCAGGAGGTGTTTCCACAGCAAACAGTCTGACGAACTGATCACACAGGTGGAATAATAGGCGCTCGACTAAAGGATCACGGAGATCAGTTTATGGAAATAGGAATTTGTTCCGTTACACTGAGCAGAAGTTAAAATTATGTAAGTAACACTGACTCATCCACCAATGAGTCATCGGTCCTTTATAAACAGATTCAACACATCGAGGCCCGTTCCAATTAAAGACCACGCACATGCACTCTCACACATATATGATTGACACATACGGTATATCCAGGCAAAGAGGCACACACACACACACACACAAACATAATTGGCACTGATCTGTTTTTCCCTAGAACCATTCAGAGTGATTATACACACTCGATTTCAGCAATGAGCTTCATCTTTGAGTGGTTTGCCATAACCCCCACCATTTAACATGTATTACATTACAGCCACAATGTAATATGTGAAATTTTATAGCCAGAATGAGATGCATTATTGCCTGTCAATCAAGCAAAAGAAATAAAACATACTTTATTTCTGTAGAGACTCACTCGTTGCATTTCTTTGAGCAGCATCTATTGGCCATTAGAGGAGCTGCAGCTGAGTGCAGTACAGCTCTGTGTGCGTTAGTTTTGAAAAAAGAAATATGTGCAAGTGATTGTAAAACAAAATTGTAATTGTCATGATGGAAAAACGAGCCAGTTCCTGTGTGACGAGGAGCCCACCCACCTCTCCTGTCCGGCTGTGTCCCAGAGCTGAAGGTGAACCTTAAAGGTTTTCCCCGTGGTCGTCCCATTGGAGTTAGACGCTGTGTACACCTGAAGAGGAAGAAACAACATTTGTTTAGTTTTTATTTATCAGATACAATAAACTTGGTAATGTGTATTTAACGGTCCAGTGTGTAACATTTAGGAGGATCTACTGGCAGGTATGGAATATATACATTAACCAAAAACTGGCTCTAGATGGGCATTCTCCGCACGATTTGCAGTCACTGTAGTTTCTCCTAACACTTGGAAGGGAAGGATGAATTGAGTAAGTTGCAGTCTGCAACTACACCGCTAGATGCCACTAAATCCTCCACACTGGTCCTTTAAGGAGAACTGGATACAGCTGACAGGAAATGATCCCATTAAGGGGCCGCTGTACACTTTCACGAGGCCCACCATTGGGTTGCAAAAGACGTTCCTCCAACAACCAAAACAACCTATTCATTTCAATGACCCCTGCAGCATGTGGCTGGAAAAAATCGAACAAAAAGAGTTTGACCTCGCCCAGCGCATGTCATCTGGCCACACACTACACTGACCAATCAAACAGAAGGGCAGGAAAGACTCTGCACACTGCTCTGAACTCTTGGTTCGTGTTTGTTGACAGGGTTTTATCTGATTATGTGAAGACATGGGAGTCAACTGAACAGTACGTGTCCGGTCTGCAGCATTCAACATGTTGGACTCCATGCTGGGAAGCTACCGCTAACTAGCCATTTGTCTGTAGACATCAGGCTGATGTCAACAGCCAGAAACAGCAGGAGCAGATGAATCAGTGTGCAGCTCTGTGCAGCGTTTTAGCATCAAGCCTTGAAACACAAGGATCTGTTACTGACAGGGAACTTCCAGGATCATATTTCATCATTTCCCCAGGACCTGAAGCAACACGCCACCTGTTTTCAGAGTGTTAATCGCCCTCTCCACTGCTTTATTGTTGTGAATATCTCAGCAGGTCTGTGATCTGGACAGCGGTCCTGACTCTGTAACGAGGAACTCCTGTGTGCTACAGCTTGCTGTGTTTCTTGCAGGAAGCCTCGAGGCGTCATTCACACCTCTGACTCTCCCAGATAAGACACTGTCACTTTCTGTGACTTCCTTTTAAAGCTGCGTTCACACCAATCATGCTCAGAGCAGTTAGTTTCAACTTCAGCGTGTTTTTGGTTACATTTTCAGAGTCAATTATGACACTTGTACATCTGACAGTGTAAGTGCTCTATAGTGAGATCCACGGAGCAGTTTGTTATTGGGGCTGAGGGTTGTTGGATTACAGCACAAATGCCACAACTGCACATTTTTCTATACCCATCTTTGCTGAATAAAATAAATTTTTTCTTCAAAATACATTTTGGTTTTTCATTTCATTAAATAAAACAAACTTGAGTGTTCTAGTGGTGAAGTTGCAGATTGCAACTAAATGAACACTGCTATCATCTGTATTTGACAATGAAGAACGCCCCTATCTACAGGCAGTGTTTGGTTTGGACAGGCAGTGTTTGGTTTGGACCTAATGAGCGATGTGAGCATCGGATAAAATGTAGAGGGAAAGAACACGAAGAGCGTGACGCATCACGAGTCCGAAGAAGCTGGAATGAGAAACATACTCTTCGCAGTGAAGGAAGTGGGACGGTGGGGTGTATTGTGTGTGTATACTACCCCCTCTTGAAGTTGTATGGGGACTGTGGTCAGAGGTCGATACCGACCGAACATGACTTTCTGGGAAAATTGTGACTGTGTTGTGGTGTGTGCTAAAAAAAACAGCCACCAAGCATTAAGACAAGACTCATACATCTATTCATTCTTTATATTATTCACAACTAACAATTAGTAAATTGGTATTATTTACCACAATGGTCCTGAGAGCTGGGTGCTTGAGGAAAGGTAAGTGGGATCATTGACAATGCTAAAATCTAGATAAAGTTATTCCCTGGGTAGTAGACTGGGATTAATAAATTTTTAAAGATCCCCTCCACATGTATGTACCAACATAGATACAAATAGTCGCCAATAATGTTTTTTCCACAAATAAAAAGGTTAAAGAGGTTCATCTACCTTCTACCTCATGTCAAATTCAAGAATCTCTGAATAGCAGATATTGCATTTCTCCTTTCAGAGGTTTTCCTGCTGGACACAAGCCGCCCCTACGTATCTGTGAACAGTCCGATTCTCAGTGGGATGGCACTGGACATTTCTTTTCCTACAGCTTCACATGCTTACAAGTTGCATACTGGACCAGGACTGACTTCCCAAAGCTATTT